AATTTTATACCTTAACTTAACTAATCCCAGTTAGGTTAAGTTATAGCTAGATTAGAACGGTTAGGTTATGCCACTCTAACTTAACTATAAAAAGAAAAACCCTAGAATTATTATTTATATAAAAAGCTCTATAATTTAATCTAGATATCCAGCGCGTTAAAAGATATATATAATATTTAATAGAATAGCTAAGCTTTGTAGACTTTTCTTTTTTAAAAAATGATTGTAAAATATAGTTATATAGAAAGTGTTTTTTATTGAATAAATTGTACTGTGATTAATACTAAATTACTTAGCTAATTTAATTGATAATATCTAGTTTTCTAGGGTAGATATAATAGCTGCGCGGCTTTTATTAAAAGCTTAGAATTAGATTTTTAATTTTTACTAATTTCGGTTTTAAAAGACTTTATTTTGATGGGATTGTAAATAGTTAAATAGGTTGTGATTTTTTGACGCGTCGCGGAAACGCGTTAGTGTCTTTAGACTTTTGACCCACCTTGTAGTAACGCAAGACAAAAACATAACTGCAGACTCGAGGGCCTTGCAAGATCTGCTCAAGCAGGCGTCAAACTACTACAAAATGGCATCGAATGCAGACCAGGTTGGAAGAGGGATCTTGTATGTCCGCTCCAAACTCTTAGAGGGTTCGATTGCATCCGTGGAACGCTTCAACACTTGGTATGATCAACTGCATATCCCACAACTCATGAGAGTGGAAGGGATACAGTTCGCGACGAGACACATCTCAGCCTCTCCAAAGAGATCGAATCATCCATACCTTGCGCTTTACTCGCTTGCAAACATGGATGTGCTGAACAGCGCCCATTTCAAAACCATCGCAGGACAAAGGGACGTGTTGCCAGGGACGCAGTATACAATCTTTGACATCGCAGAGTTTGAGGCAAGAGCTTATATTCTTTTGAAATCATTGGGTTCGGCTAGTACTAGTATAAAAGGTGTGTTTGAAGGTTCCGTCCCGTTTCCTTTCCCAACTTTTCGATTGACAATCAATGTAAATTCAGGAGCACCACGAAGCATAGTGTCCCTATACGCTTCCATGCCAACGACCGAACACGCCGAAGAATGGGTCCAGCAAATGTACGCCGACAAACTTCGGGAAATTGCAGACTTCCGAAGACTTTGCTTGTACCGATGCACCACTGAATTCCAGCAAAAGAACAATTGGGGGGGTGTGCAGCCGGAGGCTCATTACCTCGCTATATTGGAATTCGATACCGATGAGGTTTCAATACCGAATAGCGGTTATGGAGGATCCGATGTCGAACATTTTACTCTGCTAAGATGGTTTGGACACTACATTTGACACCACATATAATGAATGCCACGCTATATCCCTGGGCATTATTCACAACGCCTTACTATGTCCGATCTTTCATGTAATCTTAGCAAGATGCACCATTTAAGAGCAGCACACCAGGAAGATGACCACCAACATGTGTGATACGTATGCATCAATAGCCGTCAAGTTCTTCCCTTTGGCAATCTGCCATTCCTTCAGCCCTAGTGCGATGTCAGTGGCTAGAGTGGGTGGCTAGAGCTGCAGTTTGCTGTAGACCAGTGTATTTTTCGGAAATCATTCGAATGCTCATGATGCCAGAATACCTGCTGAAAGGCTGTGCAACGCACTTCCGTATCCTGCTTGACGTGGTCTAGCAAAAGGTGATTGCGAGCTGAGGCCTCCTAGAGACTGTAGGGTTAGAGATGTTGTGGTTAAATTTACCATAAGCTTGGTAACGAACCTCCTGGTATTCCCGAGCTCACCCGATATGGATATCTCTAGTGTCAATCTCTTGACAAGAGTCCAATAGGTCATGACACCTACAACAATGATCTCTTACTGCTTGCGACACTGAAAATCACCATGGTTGCGAGGTTTCGGTCGAGTTTTAAAGTGCTTCGTGTCGGCAAAGACAGCCCACTGTGCTTGGCCAAGTATCAAAGTCGTCGATCTTTCTCATACCAGAGACGTATTCATCTAAATGAAGTTTAGACGGTTCCGACCAGAACAAACGTCCTAGAAGGTTACACTTAAAATTCCATAAATTCCATTATTAAATTATCCACTGGATGGCTTGGACGGCAATCTTCCGACCACCTTGCATTCCCCCTCATAGATGTGACATTAATAATATACACAATGGCATGGCACTTCGTATAATCGTGCTGATTTCCGATCCATCTGGCCCTCCTGTTCTATGTTCGGATGAAAGCACCTCAAAAAGACCCGATGAATGGCGACAGGGTGTGGATACATCAAGGAGCCATGCACTACTGACGATTATTGATCAAAATAGTTAGCAGTAGGCGAGGAAGTCGTCGTTGACCTTGCACAAGATATTCCCTACGACCTCGGCAAAATCCGCCATCAGTAATCTCATACGATCTCCCTCACTACCTTCTCCGCTTCTGCCTCCGGTTGTTTTATATAATCGCTGTGCACTGCATGTAACACGCTGGTGTCGAGTTCGCACTATGCATGCCCCGAAATGTCTCAATACGATTACCCCAAAGTCATTGCTGTCCTCGGTGCTACTGGCCGACAGGGCAGCGGAGTTGTGCAGAGCCTTCTGAGAAAGACACAGCCAGCTTTCTCTGTGCTTGCTCTCACACGTGACTTGGATTCGGCATCCGCCCAGCCCCTGAGGCTGGAGGCTCAGAACAATGAGAGACTGCAACTGGAAACTGCAAATGTTTTCGATCCCGACACATTGCATAGAGCATTTAAAGGTGTGCATGGTGTTTTTGCCGTGACCAACTACCGGGCTCCGGGCCAGCAGGTTACGCAGGAGGAGGATTTGCAGGACGAGCTCATAGCTGGAAGAAACATAATAAAAGCAGCAAAGGTGGGCTGTGAATAATCTACCCTTGAAATCTCAGTCAAAGGATCTAATACATAGAGGGCTAGTCATGGCAGGACTGTGGTGTGAAATATTTTCTTCTAAGTAGTCTGCCAAATATCGCGCAAGCCAGCAGGGGCCAATTCACGAAGGTTTTCCATTTCGACCATAAATCCCAGATTGAAAGCTGGGCAAAGGAAGAGCTGCCTGCTACCACCATCCTTCACCCAGGTTTGTGCGCCTCTAGAGGGTTCGGTTGCAAAAGCCACCTAACTAGCTGACCCAGGGTTGTTTTATACCAACATGTTTTGGCCGCAGTATTGCAGGCGCAGCGGTAAGTCAGGTCGTCGCGTGAAATCCCGCAGCAGAGGTTGCTGGCGGCTGACTGGTTAATGCAGGCGATGGTATTGTTGAATTTTGTGCTCCTGTCCCGGCGGAAAAATCTGCGGATTGGGTAGATCCCGCCTATGATATAGGAGAGTTTGCGGCCGGTACGGAGAGCTATCTATAATTCTTTGTCCTTTATATATAACTATAAATTGAGACCGTGAGCTGACGTCCTCCCAGAGATTTTTGCTAGAGGGCCAGAGATTACTGCGTCGAAGACCTACCCTGTTATCGGGCCCCAAAATCTCATTTTCCGAATTGGCAACAGTGTTTGAAGCTACCACATCTCGGCCAGCTCGATTTAAGCCTAGCACTCTCCACGAATGGGGTGCTACTGTTTCTGCCTCGGCGGGGGCTGGATTTGAAAGAGATATCAGGCAAATGATCGAGTGGATCACTGTCGCTCCGGATGACAAGATTTGCTACGGTACCATGGACCCAGATGAAGACCAATCAGAAAGCGATCTCGGCGTGAGGGCCAGTACATTTCAGGAATGGCTGGAAAGATCTGGGTGGACTGGCCCTGACGACGGAGTTAAATAGAGATTGTGCACCGTGCCCATGGAGAAGGTTCGGCATTGAACTGAAAGACGCAGAAAAGTCCACCTTGTCAAGGAAAACTATTGTTCAATAAATCAGGCGGTCTCATATCTCGCTAATAGGCAACATCGGTCAGTTACGCATTAGTCTGTAATGTTACCCTTCCTGAGTCGCATTTGTTACCAATCATATGTAGAACCCACGCCCTGCATACGTTTACGGTGGAATTTTATTATCATCAATCGTAGTCAACAATGGCTCCAGCGAGGACGAGGGGAAGCAGGTGGGTATCCCCTTAGCTTACTGGCCTAGAATGTCGATTCTGTTCATGAGCATATCCAGACAAGTAAACAATAGCGTCTAGTTGTATCGCGAATCAAAGTAGCGGTATGATTGTAGCACTAAAACAATGAATAGAGGATAGGAACACTTCATTAAGCTTGCCAGATTTGAATTAATGGCAAACACGTCTATTGAGACTATATAATCCCTAGGTAGTTGACCAACTCTCTGTGAGCGAATATTCTCACTAGAATACATAGCATCCTCCGCTACCCTCTCCTAGCAATGGAAGGGCTGGTGCGGTCAGAAATGCGTGACCGCCTTGATGCCAGCAACAACATCGGATACAAAATCTCCACTGGGAGCGGGACATCCAAAAGCCCAAAACACGTGAGGAAGAGCCTTGTAATAGTCAAGTTTTACCGGAACCCTACAAGAAAGCCAGGTCAGGAAGAAAAGTCTATGAACGGTGACACGTAAGAAGCCATACACGTACCCGGATGCTTTCAAGGCGTCATGGATCATCAGGCCGTCGTCTCGCAGGGGATCGATTTCGCAAACCGCAAGGTAAGCTGGAGGAAACCGATGGAATTCAGACTCTGCATTAAGTACGTAGATATCAGGGTCGCAGGGTTGTGCGTGAATGGCCTCTGCAAGGAGTGAGTTAGAAGCACACATGCCGTCCCGCTAATGAAGAGAATTATGCCACCAACCATAGAAAAGACTCATTGCCTGCTTCGTGTTGACAGGACCATCACCAAATTCCTCAAAGGCACGATATCTGTCAACATAGCGCGCTGGCACAGCTTCCGGATGAACGGCAAATGGAACAATGGCTGCAATGCCCCTGACTTCACGTTCCCGTCCAAGAAAGACCAGCCGGCGCACTACTGCCAGAGCAATAGTGCCTCCTGCACTTTGGCCAATCGTAAAATACCGCGTCTGGTCACCGTTCAGGTAAGTTGCGTTATTGTATGCCTGTCATGTAAGCATGTCTTGAGCTGACCTATTTGTCTTTGACTGAGCAACTCACCCAGTCCCACGCCTCCATGGCATCGTCGACCTGGGCGGGAACTCTGAACTCTGGTGCAAGTCTATAGCCCACCGAGACGATGATGCATGGCAAGCGTTCCGCGACTTCCCTGCAAAAGGTGTCTTCGGAATCTAAGTCACCACAACACAACCCGCCGCCGTGAAAGTACAGTCCAACAGGGAGTGGACTGGAACCTTCTTGGTCAAGGGTGGGCGTGTAGGTTCTCACTGTGAGTTGCGATGTAATGGTTTTGTCTTCTGTATGTTCCGTTGTATTGTCAGTTCACGCAACTATTGAGTATCCTCGCACGTGGAGGGCACCTGGTGGACTGCTCTAGCGTACCAACCGTGATATTCGGGCTAAGATCTCGAGCTGCATTGGCTTGATCAGCGAGAGCCTTATACTGCGCACGCATAGCATAAACATCGCCAGTCAACTGAGGTCGCTGGCCCATCGCATTTTCCACCTAGATCGTGGGTTGATGAGCTGCTGGAGGTGATTGCTGCTGGAGGAGGGGCCGCCGTTACCTTGAGCCACGAGTCTGCGATTAACGCCTCCATTGTGCTGTATGCTGTGACGCTGGTGGTTATAATCGATTGGTTCAGAACCCAGTTAACCGGGGATACCGGGAAACAGGAATTGCTTGCTTTAATCGTCTGTAATGTGATGATTTACTAGCTAAGGAGAGCTGCGTCTTTTTTCTAGACTCATTGGAACCATTGACGTGATGCTCACTGCGACCATACATAGCGCATGATGAGTGAACCACCATGCCGAGGAGCACTTTGCTGGGTGGGCGGATCAGTCATCAAATCTGATGAACCTCGGCGGGTGTTCGGAGAAGACGGTTCTGTCGGCCTTCAAGGAAATGAACTCGGTGCAGAGCCGTCACAGTGTCGACGGACTTTGGCTCCGTCATGTCCACAGGGTGATGGATGATGGCGGGGTGTCGTCGACCGATCTAAAAGAGCGCTTTCCCTCCATTCCACAGAAAACCACGGCGATAAGCCTCGACAATCAGCTCTTCTCTCCAGAAAGATCAAAAGTTGCTCCCTCTGTCATGCCTCACCTGATATCTGCCGTCACGGGCGCCGAGCTCAACGCCAACGGACCTCGCACACTGGCCCAGTCCTTCTACTATCAGTACGCCACTGCAATTGCCGCCAAACACCTGTGGGACCAAGAGGTGCCCCGTTTCTATGCCGACAATGCGGTCTTCCACAACCAGAACGGCGTTGATTACCGCGGTGATCAGATTTGGCCGTGGGCTACGCGGCTGTTTGGAGAGTTCGAGAAGCTCTCGCATGACTTTGTGAGGATCTGGGAGGTCCAAAATGACGACGGCACGGTGGATCTAGTGTCCCAGATTGTGCGGCATATCTGGGCCCCCGGTAACAATAGCGACCAGCCCACGGTCAGCATTCCTCTGTCAATGGTATGCAAGATCAGTGCCAACAATACACCAAGAACGGTGGGTGGCCTGCAGTTCAGCGAGGTCTGGCTCTACTGGGATACAACTTCTCTCCTGCCGTACTTTCCGGCCGACTCGGTGGTTCTCAGCTCAAGAAATATATTCGACCAGGAGGCGAAATGAAGGCGATCTCACTGAGGGGTGCGTGAACACGGGCCGATGGGGCATTCTATATAGTTTTTACTTCAAGTACTGGAAACTATGTGCCTGACCTTAATACATACTATGAGGAACAACAGCTTTGTATTTAGCAGAAGTCGTCCTGACACATCCCGTGCAAAGTCATCGGATTTATTCAATGAACATGTAAAAGAACCCAGCCGCAAATATAATCTAATCGAGTTGCGTATAGTAGTCATTTTTCTCACGCGAAAGTACGGAAGCTCATGATCTGCCCAAGACGTACAACAATGCTACGCCAGATGAGTCTTAAGGAATGCAATCTGCGCGGTAATATTGCGCTCAAAGTACTCGCCTCGGTAGACATCAAAGTGGCCGGCCTTATCCAAATACAACAACTCCTTGGGCTCTCCTGCCTTTCCAAATGCAGCTAGTTGTGACGAGGTTCGCACCGTCAGGTCGTTTCCTGGAACGACCATCAACAGAGGAGTCGGAGTAATGCGGTGGATCATAGCTTGGGCTTCAAATTCGAGCATGTGGAGCTGAGTTTGCTCCGTCACCCAGTTCTCCCAGGACCCGCCACATTCGTGGATGCCGCGGAACGAGTCGTATGCGTGGAAATCTGGGAACAGAACCGGTGCAGAACCACTCTTCGCAATCTCTCGGTCTGGTGCGATGCAAGGCACTCGTCCGCGGGGCTCACCTGCAGCAATTCGTGCCCGGTCAGCGAATAATGCGGGAATCCTGTCCTTGAAGGCTCGTGAGCGTGTCTCTCCAGAGACTGCGGGGCACTGAACAACTGCAGCCTTGATCCGTTTGTCCACGGCAGCCGCGTAGATAACGTTGCCACCGGAGAAGCTGGTGCCCCAATACGCGATCTTTTCCGCATTGACTCTAGGCAGCGTGACGGCGAAGTTGAAAGCATCATAGTAGTCGGTCTGCTGTAGGGCCGGATTCGACTCCTGCCGGGGCTCACCCTCGCTGTCTCCCCAGTTCCGGTTGTCGTATAGCAAGACAGCGAAGCCGGCATGGTGAAAGCGGTCTGCGAAAGACGGGAGTAGAAAATGCCGGATCCCTGCCAGCTGAGGCAAGAGTTAGCCTGAGCTCTGCACTTGACACAGGGAACCTGGTTTGCCTAGACCTTACCCCATGCGACATTATGATACAGGGGCTTTCCCTCTCTGTCGGATAATGCCAACCTCGCAGGATCGTGCCGTCGCAGGCACGAAATTCGATATCGCGTCTTGGAAGAACCATGGTGTCCGGTGCGGATAGGAGAGGGCCAGAAAATGGCAGGTTCAATGTGATGTCGTATAGGTCAAACGTGGACAATAAACGGTAACTCCAAGGTCCAAGATTTATGGTCGGCTCTGTGAGGCTTCGAAAAATTTTTACAGTACTTGTTAATAGGGTGGACGGACTTGGAGTGATCTATTCCAAGTGGAAGTCTCAGAGCAGCTGAACCGGGCGTTCCCCATTTCTCCTCTCGAACAAACTCTGGGAATGCCGATTACATTTCGGCTGAGGGCCACCAGCTCATCGGTTTCGGGAATGTTAATCGGCCTCGGCACAAATGATTCGACCGACAAATGTTCGTGGTGGAGGAAGCTACAGCACGTCAATTTGAAGAGGGAATTATGCTTCCAATAGTCTGACACGGAAGCCCAGACGATACCCAGAATGTGATGCGCCATCGATAAAGCTAAACGGCGCCAATTATGTTTTTGATTGGCAACATTTGAAAACCCCTCCGGAAGGGAAGCCAGTGGCAAAAAGAGACAAGCCCCATGGATACCTTCTCCAAGCCGGGATAGAAGATCACAATCTGGACTGCGGGCAGTTGGAGCAAACATGGATGTATGATGCCATCTCGAGTGAAGGATGTAAGGTATATGGGCGAATCACGGCATCCGGCAGATGTGGATGTAACGATACGCTGATGATCACTCATCAACAGGATATTGTGCGCCTCGGCCGACGGCCATCCAACTTAGCTTACCAAGCAAGAGTGCAAGTCCAAAGCGTGTCCTAAGCAGACCGACACCCAAAGATCACCGTTGATGCCGTTGCGAGGTTTCCAGCATATAAGAACCTCGGTTTCAGTTGGCCAATTCTTGGACCAAGTCACATTTCCCAACTCCTTTTCCAATAGTACCAGCAGCAAAACATGGGCCTTCAACATAAAGTCTTCTTCAGCAAGCGAGCCAGCGCCACTCGCACCGGTCCCACAGGCGCTGACCATCTCAAATGGGTCCCCACGAGCTCTACTCTCATTTACGGCGAGACAGATGCCATTCTAGTCGATACCCAGCTAACCACACAGGCCGCCGAAGAGTTGGCTGACTGGGTTGTCGCCAGTGGAAGGAACCTGGTCGCGATTTATGTCACTCATTCGCATGGCGACCACCATTTCGGAAGTTCGGCCCTTCTCAAACACTTTCCTAGTGCCAAAGTGCTAGCGACAAAGGAGGTTTCCTCCAGGATGGAGAATGAACACTCCCCAGAGAGGTTACAGGGTCTATGGAATAAGCTTTTCCCTGGGCAACTTCCGGACCATTTTGCATCCGCTGAGGCATTGGAAAAGGACGAATTCGAGCTGGAAGGCGAAAAGTTGGTGGTTGTGAGATTAGGACACACCGACTGCGACGAAACCACGGCCTTGTGGGTTCCATCGACTGGCCTCCTTGTTGCAGGCGACTCCGTTTACGGCAATACTCATCCCTACATGGGCGAGTCGGGTACTGTCAAAGCGCGACTGGCATGGATGGCGGCGTTGGATAAGCTCGCCGCTTTGAACCCTAAGATGGTCATCGGCGGCCACAGCGACCCAGACAGTTCTTTTGGACCGGATGCCATCAGCGAGACGAAGACTTATTTCGCAAATTTCAACCGACTTGTGCAGGAGTCTCGGACTGCCGAAGAGGTATACACCCAGATGATGCAACTTTACCCTGCACGGCTAAACCCGGGTTCACTCTGGGGCGGAGCAGTGCTTTCGAAGCAGGAGGAAAGTGGAAATGTTTAGGAAGTGGTCCACCAGGGAATGTTCTGAACATCATGTAGGGTAGAACCGGCTGATAAGATACAAAACCAAATGATCTCTTCGACCACGTCGTGTCGAGTGGCGTAGAAACTATTCAATATGCCCGGCCCGTTTTCTCTCGGATTGACCACCTGGCTTTCGCCCTATGGTTGCAGATGGTGAAATACAGCCGGTGGGCTCAGAAACTGTTCCCTGGTCCATCAGCGAAGCAATGCGTAAATATCCGCGAGCCCGCCACGAGTGCGACTCTGTCACATTCACGGCTCCAGTCCGATCGGAGCATTTAATGAAACAATATAAACTTACCTCCGTATAGCCGAGGCTATTCAGCATGTGTCAGAAAGGCCTGAGGCACCGGCTGGTATGCACTGGGATATATTACGTGGATGATCCTACACATCCCCCATCACTCCTCACCATTCTGAACCCTAGTGACATTCGGTGATAAACCGGTGTCATGATTCCTTCCACGACTTCTCCAAATCCTGTAAGCACGGAGGCTATAAGTGCTGCTGCAGCCATCGATCCACGTGTGCCACAACGTTTTGTTCCTACCGACCTATCTGGTCAAAAAATTCCTCAGAGCAAGCGCTGGCTTTATTCAACAGCCGCCGTCACCAACAGCGACCTTAGATCTACCGGGGTCAGTGCTGTATTTATTGCTGGGTTCATATCATTCAACTTGTCATCTGCTGGTCACAATTTCTATGAATACCTCGATCAAACATATGGAGAGCGCAATGTGAACATCTGGGGAACCTTCATCATTACCTCGCTCTTCTTTTGGGTCTGCAGCGCCGTCTTCGCTATTCCCGATCTGACTGGTTGGCCTAGATGGCTCTTTAAGTATAAAACTCAGCCATTCATTCGGGTAGATCGTTCTAAATACGCTCGTATAGCGATGGTATCCTTGCGGAATCAGTTCTTCGTGGCTCTGCCCATGATAATCTTGGTCACACATGCGACTTCGCCGATGCCTGTGGCTCCAACCGCATTACCTTCGCCGCTACAGACCATGGGTATGATCTTTTTCGATATTGCCTGTACCGAGGTCGGCTTTTATTACATTCACCGTTTATTTCACTCCAAGTCCCTGTACCCAATATTCCACAAGCAACATCACGAATTCACAGCTCCCGTTGGCCTGGCTTCGACCTACTGTACAGCAACGGAACACCTATTTTCTAATCTTCTTCCAAACTCACTTGGAACTTTAGTCGTTTCGCATCACTGGTCCCAGGCAGTTTTCACGTTCATCTTCCTCGAATTCGGCACAATCTGTACCCATTCTGGGTACAACATCCCTTGGTTGCCATCTAACTTACAGCACGACTTCCATCATTTCGCTTTCGATGAAAACTTCGGTCCTACTGGGATTTTGGATGCGATACACCGCACGAACAAGAAATTCAGAAAGACAATCCAAGAGGCTAGGCTCCGAAGTGGTGGCGATGATGAGAAAGCGAGAAAATTGGTTCTTGAAAAACTTGCGGAGGTCGGCATTGTAGACTCGGCCGAGCGATAAGCGTGCGTTCGAAGCGGCACACATTTGTTACTGTCACACATCGACAGCCGTAGCTATCTGGCGGCATCGTCGCGTCCGTCGACCGTCTGCGCAGGTTTCTATCATTGGCATCTGAGTTTTAGTTCTTGCTGACATGCATGTACTTGATCTGTCCGTGTTAGTTCCGTGCGCTCACGGCTTTTCTCGTAGGGCCCATATAGGTTGGACCTTAGGCCTGGAGTTTGGGCCCATTCGTGGGCCCTGAAGAAGACTAGTTCTAGGGTCCGCGAGTCAACTCGCGGGTAATGCTGGTCTTTTGGTAAACCTTGTATCACCTGACCCCTAGATAAGGTGCCTTACACTTAGCTAAACGCCAGTCTAATATCTA